TTAGCTTTTTACAGATCAAGGACTGAGTCTTTTCATCACTCTAATAGACTCTTCATTAAATATTGGGAACAAAACTGAGGCTTCCCAGTTACTCCTCAGATCTAAATGGATAGTTAACACTATTACTCTGTCTTATCAGTTAGCCAAGACAGACTTACCGACAACTCCAAGGAGCCACTCCACTAGGGCTGTAGCTGCCTCTTCAGCCTTCGCATCAGGAGTCCCTATTGAGGATGTCTGCAGAGCTGCCACCTGGGCTATTCCATGTACTTTTGCAAGACATTATAGATTGGATGTTTGTGCTAGACAGGACTGTTCTTTTGGCAGAGCCGTTCTTTCATCTATTCTTCGTTGGTGACTCCTCCCTCTGCCATTTCGGGTAAGCTGGTTATTCTACCCATATGTGTGATGCACAGAGGCCATGATGAAGAAGAGCAGGTTGCTTACCTGTAACTGATGTTCTTCGAGTGGCCATCTGTGCAGTTACACAACCCACCCACTGGCCCCACTTGGTGTCATGGGTGGTCCGACTTTTTTTTTTGGTACTGACCTATTTTCTCTGCTTGTTGTACCACCAAGAGGTTTTGTTTTATTCCATACTGACAAAAATAAATAAATTCCTGTTACTTTAGTTCTTTTTACAACTTTTTGTTAGGGAGCGAACGTTCGGTCTGTCAAAGACTGGAAAATGGCAGACATTTCGCTCCTTATATACTACTAGTGGGGAGGGGGAGCGGAGTTTCCCACCAAACCATTAGCTGTTAATCTTCCGGCCAAAGGCACTGCGCAGGCACAGAACCCCATATGTGTGACTTCACAGATGGCCACTCGAAGAACATCAGTTACAGGTAAGCAACCTGCTCTTTTGCTATCCATTTAGAGTCTTTTAGACCTATCACTTTATATTGTTTTAATGTAAATTTTTATGTAAACCACTTTGGCAGTCATATTGGCTCCAGTATAGGATCATTGGTCTAGTAAATAAATCTATGCATGCTTGAACCTTATGGGGATTGGGTAAAGGACACAATTGACATTTCCCAGTGTCATGCATAATGTCAAGTCTTATCCAGAGATGTAGGTTTTTGTGGAAGATTCTTCCTTCTCTAAATATGTATCTTGTGTACTAACAATACTAACAGTGATATCTCTGTGACTGCAGATGCATGCAAATGTAGGAGTCCCACAGCATTTCCCTGGATATCCTTGAGAAAACATAATTGACCTACAAACCTTTCCTTCTGCCATCTTGTCCTCCCATGATTATTTATGACCTTAGTGATATGTGCAACAGCAGCTAATGCTGTAAAAAAAATAGGCACTGGTGTGATGGCCAGACTTCTACAAACTTCTTTGGCCATTTGAAGACAACAGAAGTTAGAGGAAAAATAGAGTCCTTACAAATTTTACTTGTCATGTTTGCTAGAAAGTTATTTCAATTCAGCTCAAGAATTAGTTGCTTAATATCATCTTTTGCTAACCCAGGCTTATCCAGAAATAATGTGATTTGCAGCATATTGCTTATATATAAATTCTTCCTGACACAGAAGCTTTGAAGAAAAACTCAAGTAATTCAGACAATGCTCTAGATAATCTGTTAATACTTCTACATTTTGCACCAAGAGAAATTCCATCAGTATACTTTTTAAACAAGTTAATCTGATTAGCAACACATGCCAGGGAGCAATATGAAATGTAACTCAAAGGAGTTATAGGAGGGGTTTATTTTACTTTTTTATTTTACTTGGGAGTTTATATAAGGACACCATAATGAAAAGAGATCCAATAAAGTCAGGCACTTCTACTGAGGATGCTCTAGAGCCATGTTTGCAGCTGAGGAGTAGAAACAATTTAGCTGTTGAGCTTTGGGAAGACAGAGCAGGACTACAACAACCTGACTAGCTAATAAAGAGGCCAGGGAGCAAGAGCTAGTTGAAAAAGTGGAAACTGTACTACTTAATAATTTAGCAGTCACGTGCCACTTGTGGGCTTCTTAGAAGCATCTCATTGGCCGTTGTGAGAAATAGTATGTTTGGATCCAGGTACACTCTTTTTCTTATGTTTGTGCATTGTTTCTGTCTTAAATAGGTTCACTTAGATCTGGAGCTGCAATTTGGTGCACACATGACACCTCTCTTAGGACCTGCTACACTCCCACCCTGCTCTTGATTTTCATTTCATTTTTTAGACTTCTTAATTTTTTTAAAAAAAGGAGGCAAACATGAAATCCCTACTTCCAAAGGAATCCTTTATTTCCAGTAATGCCAAAGGACTTGTCCCTGAGCCTTATTAGTTCACTTTTTGGGAAAAGCAGAAAATTATGAGCTTGTTTGTTTAGGTGTACATCACCTTTGCCTTAGATTATGTGGCAACTTGTTTTTCTTTAAGCCTGCTGGAAAATTGATTTTTGTGACTGATCATGCCTGCCAGAATAACCATTTTGTGAATGAGCAATCCCCCGCCCCCAGCCATGGCAGCATCTTCCACCCCAAAAAAGTTGGGGAGCCCTGACTTAGACCTAAGTCTCAGTTTGACCGACCATTCCCTCCTTAGCACCAAGGAAACTAAGCCAGGTCATCTGTGAGTCAAGTGTAATATTAAGGTTTGCCACTTGATTATTGGCCAGTCTGATCATGGAGAGCTGTGAGAAGGAAGGATGGAAAATAGCACAGTCAGGTGGGGAGAAGGAGGAAGAGGTACGAGAGGACCTTAGAAAAGAAGCCAGGAAATTGAGAAAATAGGAAATAGGGAAGGGATATAGAAGGCAGTGACAGAGAGCAGTAAAAGTGCAGGCAAGGCATGCAAAGAGATAGGAACAGTCACAAGCTGGCCAATTGCCATGGACTAGATGGGAAACTAAGCCTCCCTTCTCCCTGCTGAGGCTCCACACCTGCTTCAGGAAGACCCCAAAGAACAGTCCAGGTTGCTTGTGATCTCACTTATTTTTTCTGAAAAGGATTCCAGCCCATGCCCCTATAAGGACTCCCCTGCTCCTTTTGTGAGAGCCAGATTCTCCTTCTCTGTGTGGGGTGGGGAACACTGTGGGGAGCTGAGATTACTCCTTCCACTAACTGCATTCAGACTAACTGCATTCTGCTTGGGACTATCAAAACAAGATTGGTTATGATGGAAGCCAGGGTATGCAGCCAGAGAAGGGATCCCAAGCTTTAAAAAAAGTATGAAACTGAAGCAATAGAAAAAGACTTTCTATTAACCCTCTGAAGACTGTCCTTAAAGGACTTGCTTAGAAGCAGGCAAGTGAGATGGTGCTCAAAGGAGCTGCTATGTAAAGCATGCCTTAGCCACTGAAGCTGCTGGAAAAACTTGATCAATTCCTAAGCAACACTTCCCTGTCTCATTCTTTATTGATGAATGAATGAGGGTGACTCTGGTGTCCTTTTGCCAGAGGTTGGCCTCACAGATTGGCAGATGTCTCCATGGAGCTTGGGGGTCATCATTTGAAAATGAAAGTGTGTATGAGCCCTGCATAACTCAACTTGTACTTCAAAATAAAGAATGACCTTGCTAAAACTAGTGCAATGAAAATTAGAGAGACAAAACCCCACAAACTCTCATATAATATCTGTAATCATCTCATGAATAGCACAGTCATCTGAATCAACCCACTGGAAATGCCTGTCTGATATGGACTGTGAGACAAATGCTACCGTGTTATAATGTTGCTGCCTTAAATGGTGGTGCAACTCTTTACATCAGCTTTGTGCTTGGATCAGAGAATGCAGTGGTACTAAACCATTCCATCTGTTTCTTGTTGTTTCTTGGAAACTTTTGCCTGGAACATATACTGGGTTTATTAAAGAAACATGTAAAATGATGGTAGGAATTTGCACCACCTTTTGGTAGCATTTTCCCACTTTATTGGAAAGGTTGACTGTTTCTCTGTGTGTGATTTTAAATACATTCAGGGAGTGATCCTGTGAAGTACAACTCTAGCTTCCAGGAATCCACTGTATTGAGGTGACAGTGTTTAATGCCTGGCCAAGAAAGGGATTAAGAACCACCCTGATCCAGAGTTTTGGTGATATAGCTGCTACGGAAGACAAATTAAAGTTCCCAGAAGTGTGTGCTAAGGATTCACTGGATGTTAATGAACCGCTAAAAGTGTGTGTTGAAGCTGCATTCCAGCTGTTCTATCTTTGGCCAGCTCAAAAATTTGTGTTAATATAACACTGGGCAATTTCATGAAAGGATGCGTGTCATAGCAATCATAGCATCAATGGTAATAACCACCTTCCTGCTAGTACATATACTTTATATTGTTTAGATATTGAGCATCTTTTTCCTATCATTTGAATACAAATGAATATTGAAGATGCAGTTTTATTGAATATAATATATTATCTTTGTTTCCTAAATTAAAGCACTCTTTATTCATGCTTTGTCCTCCTGGGTTCTCATGCTTCACATGCCGTGGCTACCCAAGTTGTTTGTCCCAACCCCATAAGAACTTAAGAATATACTGGATCAAATCAAAGGCTTAACCAGTTTAGACCTAGTTCATTCTGTCCTACAGTGCCTAACCCAAAGTCCTGATGGGAAGCCCAGAACAGGACAAGAATACAACAGCCCTCTCCCAGTTGTGTTCTCCAGAAACCAGTATATAGAAGCATAGTGTCTCTTGTGCTGGCACTAATATTGATGGCCTTACCCTCCATGGAATCGTGTTGAAAAGCAGTCAATTGAATGGGTCCCATTTTAATCAGCAGCACCTGCCAAAGCTCCCTTTACTTTATGCCTTTTCTTTAGTGTCTGGTCACATTACAGTTTTGTGTACTGTGTCTTACTAAGTTATGGCAATGATTTCTTGTACTAAGCTTTATTTATCTGACAAGCAGAGATCAAAAAGGATTATTATATTGAGATAATGAATAGCAGACAAGATAGAAAGAGACATTATTTAATCCAATATCTCTTTTTCTTCTGTGATCTCTTAGATTCATGTATCAGGTTTTCTTAATATTTTCTTAATATTTATACAGCCAGAAAACCTGTTATACTACAGCCAGGATGAAGAATCTAAAATCATGATAAGTGATTTTGGACTTTCGAAAATGGAGGGTAAAGGTGATGTCATGTCCACAGCTTGTGGCACCCCAGGATACGTTGGTAAGTACCAGTGTTGTTTCAGCCATATAGTGCTCTTCTGTTCTAGCAGTAATGGAAACTTACCAAACCAAGGGCAATCCAAAGGTCTCTAGAGAAGCACAGTAAATATCCTGTTTTTATCATTTGGTTGTTTGTTGTTGATTTCTTTGTTTGCAAGTTTTTTATACTGATTCCAGAATGGTGAACAATAGAAAGATTAAAAGGTAAAAGAAAACAATACTATATCAAAACAGAGTAACCATAAAAGAAGGCTAGTCCATCAAGGAAGGTTTCTTAGAATACAGAGGTTTTCAGGGGGTGCTGACCATCATGTTGTGGTCTTCTAACCACCAGAGGCAGCGAGTTCGTACTTTCCTGCAACAGCAAAAATGTGAGGTTCCATCATGGTTGGTGGATTGCATTTGGCTTGGTTTGTCAAAAGTTATGGAGTCCTTTAGATTCTCTCTCAGGGAAAATAGAGGGAAGTAATTTTTACCAGTATCATGGTGCAGAGGATAAGAATTGAAAAGGTCCCACTGCCATGCCAGGATCCTAATCTGAATTTCTTACTCCCAGATTATTTTTAAACACAAGTTACATTAATTTTGTATACACCCTGACCTGTTTGAAATGGCACAGCAACCTACCATGGGTGGTCAGTCATTGTGAATTCTAGTGTCATGTGAGCCCAGTACAGTTTCTGCATGGTGGCTTATTTTCCTTGGACAAGCCAACCTGTGGCTTGTTTGTTTATACTTATGGTGGCCTTTGCATTGTCCAAACCCAGAGGGACAATTTTATTGCGAGTTGCCATATATGACTAGAGAGCCAGTCAGCCAGATGAAAACTGCTGTCACCCACACATGCAGCTTCCTCCTGTCTCAGCTGACAGCTACCTTTACATTTACGTTTTGGTGATTTCCCTGTCTGTGTTACTACTTTGTCGTGATATTTTTGTATGTTTCCCAGCCCCACTCACTGCTGTGTAACCCACACCAATATGTGGTACTTAGTGTACATGCTGGAGCCAGCAAGAAGTCTGACGGGGAGAACAAACCACAGCAAGACTGATTGTCTCTTGGGAGCATCATGGTTGTCCAGCAAAAAGCCAATGCACGGTGGCTTATTTGCAGGGTGACTTAGTGTGATGTGCACATCCATAGTACATATCAACTCTCAGATGTTGAAGCAGTGCTTCTCTATGTGAAGCATTTAGTGTGCACACATGATTCCTCACTCATGGTAGTTTGCACATTCTTTACACAACACCCTCCTCCTCCAGGGTCTTCTCCATGCTTTGTAACCATTTCTGTAGCTTTTTCCAGATTGAGGAAAGTCTGGTCTTATCTGGAAATAGCACTATGAGAAGCTGGTGTATTTTTGCTCATGTAATTCCACTGTCCTCCAGCACCACCTTGTGTTTGTGTAATGAAACATATAGAAAGGCAGAGAGAGAAAAAACCTGAGGAAAAATGGATGTTAGGGAGCCAATCCTGCAGAGAATCTAGAAGCAGGTATAGTGGTGGGTTAAAGGTCACATGTAAAGAAGCTCATAGACTAGATGGAGCTTTCCTGAAAATCAAAGTTACTCTTTGTCTTTCTGAAGTTTTTGCCCTTTATTCAAAAATAATGTTTTGAACTAGTCTCATCATGTGTTTCCTTCAACCTGGCACTTGCTACTGATTGGAAACAAGTTTGAGAGTTTTCAGGTTTTCAGTTAGACTTGTACTTGCAGTAAATTGGTTTTTAAAGGCCTTGTGTCAGTCTTTCTCTAAACCCAATGCTTTTGTCTAGACCAGGTGGAAAGCTAGATCTCTTTCAAGTATAGCACTCCAACCAATGGGGGCTGGGAAATGCTTGGCAGTTTCATTGATGAGCAGTACTGGAGGAGGATGCAATGACACAAGCGCACCCACTCACTCCTACTCATAACCACACATTCTTCCCTGTTACTCATTGACACGAAGATAAACACACATAGTCACACAGGCTTACAATCTAAAAGTCATCCCTGGCAAGGCCACACAGAGAAGCGAGAAAAATGGCAAAGGGATAATCAGGGAATGAAAGTGTATCAGCTCAGTTGCACATTAGATTCAGTAAGGGAAGAGGACTAAAGACATTTATCAAAGGCTTCATGAAAAAGTAAACTTTTTTGAGATGGTAATGACATTTCATAGTAAAGTATGAAATTTAATTACATAATTGCAAAGGCCATATAGTCTAAACAGCTTGTGGCCCAGCTATTTAAAGGACCATCTGCATCCATATATACCTACCTGCCCCCTTAGATCAGCTCAGGAGGCCCTTCTACAAGAACCACCCCTCAGGGAGATAAGGATGGCAACTAGTCATAGGATCTTTTCCGCTGCTGCTACCCATCTTTGGAACTCCCTCCCTAGGGAAATTTGCCTAGCGCCATCTTTATTTTCCTTTCTGTGCCAGGTGAAGACATAACTTTTTAGGATTTTTTTTAACATTTACTTTGCATGCTGTGGCCCTTTTTAATTGCTTTTATAGAAGTTTAATTCATTACGTTTTAATTGGTTTTAATGTGTTTTACTCTGTTAATATGTTTTATGCATTGTAAGCCACCTAGGAAGGCCTCAACAATTATAGGCAGCCTATAAATACATGTAAATAAATAAAGTCAAGCTTCTCTTGCTGCAGAACTTGAATTACCGTATTTTTTGTTCTATAAGACTCACCTGACCATAAGACACACCTAGTTTTTAGAGGAGGAAAACAAGAAAAAAATATTCTGAATCAAATGGTTTACTAAACTATTTAATAAACTATAACAGAATACAGTAATACTGTATTTCAACCTTGTAAAGTGAACAGCAGTCAACAGTGGCATTAAGAACCATCATCACTGTCATTAACAAAATAGAGTCTTTAAAGTTCAAGTACTCTTCTAGTTTTCGTCGAACCCATAGAACTCATCATCGCTAGAGTCAGAATTTATGAAGCTCTGTTGCTCACAATCACTGACATCACTTTCTTCACTATCTTCATATAAGATACCATCTTCGGTTCCATCCAAAGCACTGCTAATTCCACATTTTTTGAATGACTGTACAATGGTTTCCTCCTTCACTGAGTACCATGACGTTTTCACCTTTTCACAAACTTGAGTGATAGTGGGCCTCTTCATTCGTCCAGTAGGTGTCAGATCATGATTACCAGCAGCCATCCATTTGTACCACTCTTCTCGCATAAAGACCTTAAATGGTTTGTTGATGGAAACGTCGAAAGGTTGCAACTGGCTGGTAAGACCTCCAGGAATTACAGCTAGATGAGTCTTCACTTCTTTAAAGCACTTTTTTGTAGTTTCGCTAATATGTGCTCTAAACTGGTCAAGCACTAATAAGGCAGGTTTTTTCAGAAGCCCTCCAGGACGTTTGGACCACACTTTTTCAACCCATACTCTCATTCCATTTTTGTCCATCCATCCTTTCTCATGAACATGTACAACAACTCTTCTTGGAATCACTTCTTTTGGAAATGTTTTCCTTTTGAAAATTAACATGGGTGGCAATTTGGTGCCATCTGCACAGCAAGACAACACATCCGTGTAATGGGGTTTCTCATGTCCAGAGTTTTTCACGGTGATAGTTTTGGCACCTTTCAAATCAACAGTCCTATTAGATGGCACATGAAAGGTTAGCGGGACTTCATCCATATTCCCAATCTGGCCAATTTCAACCCCATTTTTCTTCCTAGCATCAATTACAAATTTCTGAAAAGACACAATCTTAGGTTCATATTCTTTTGACATTTTTTGCGCAATTCTAGTTTTGGTGCGCATAGCAAGGCCAGATCGCCTCATAAATCTGTAGCACCACGATGGTGATCCAGTAAAATCGTGAATGCCTTTCTCTACAGCAATGCGTTTGGCTTCATGTATTATCATTTTTGTAGAGACTGAGAAGCCATTATTCCGGTGATGTGTGATCCATTCTTTCATGGCCACCTCTAACTGTGGCCACTTTGCAGAATTCCTGTGAAAAGTGTGCTTACTTTTATTATCACTTCCCCATGGGCTTCATTAAAAGATGGGTTGCCATTTGAAAACGCACACCGACCTGTGGGGGTGGGCAGTCCATCCCAGTCCGTCTCTCCGTGGCGGCCAGCGGGTTAAAGCCCGCGGCTCCTCCTCCTCCGCACCCCTCCCCCTGAGCGGCACAGTTCTCACCTGTGCCGGAGGGGGGGGCAGAGCAGGGCACGCTGAGCGCGTGCCAGCCAGGTGGTGCCAGGTGGTGCAGGCAGGCTGGCAGCGTCCCGGCGGTGGTCTTCTGGGCGGCAGCAGTGGCAGGTCTTCCCGGGTGGTGGGCGTAGGCACTCCGTCCCAGTCCGTCTCTCCGTGGCGGCCGGCGGGTTAAAGCCCGCGGTTCCTCCTCCGTCCCCCTCCCCCTGAGCAGCACAGCTCTCACCTGTGCCGGGGGGGGGGGGCGGAGTAGGGCGCACTGAGCACGTGCTGGCCAAGTGGTGCAGGTAGGCTGGCAGCGTCCTGGCGGTGGAATTACATGTCCCCGGCGTCGGGCACACCATGCTGCACATCTGACAGACTTACTGCACACACATATTCACTCTGTTAGACGTACAGACATTTCCCCTTACTTTTGAGGGGGAAAGAAGTGCGTCTTACAGAGTGAAAAACACAGTATCTTCATGCAATTTTCTAGCAATACAGTTAACATCTACCAACATGATAGCATCTAAGAGCATACAGAAGCATCTAGTGAAAGTCGAAGGGAAAGGATGTGTCTGTATCTACCCTGTCATGTGTTTATTCATCCATTTCTTCATGCAAATCTGTGATGGCTGTAGACAACCAGAAGTGCTGGATCTCTTTTTTGCTGATTTTGTTTTTGGATGCAATTTTTAAAATAATGTAAGGCACCTTTTACTCATTCCTTTATCTTCATAGATGCCACTGCCTTTAAAGTTGCTCCCATGCTGGTCCGGGAATGGTAAATACATCTGTATATAATATAGCTCATTTTGGTCTCCTTTTA